ATGGACAAATTTATGTTTTGAAATTAATATTCTGGTTTTTGTAAACTTTATTTCTATTAGAGACGATGATGATTACTATTTTAATTTTTTTTTGTTTTATACAAGTTTATTTTTTTAATTTCGCCTCTGGTCTATGGAACCTCAGGAACGGCTCTGCTTCTATAGTAACTAGAAGAAAAAAGACCGTATTCAGTTCATTTGAAACTAGTTGACCAAAAATAAGATTGACCAAAAATTAGGCTTATCCAAAACAACATGGATCTTTTAGATATACGGAAGAACCATGTATATTGCATAACATTATAGAAGTACAAAATCGCATCAAAGTATTTGACAAGAATGAGGATGATGAAACCTATGGTGTGTTTGAAGTAGTTGTCGTTCTCGTAACTTTAGTTGAGTATTTTCAGTTAATGGGATTGTAATAAAAAAAAACCATCCAATATTGTTTGATCCATTTTAAACCCTTCAACTAAATTATTAATACAAAAAATTTTCAACTAATATTTTAATAAAAAAATCTTTCAACTAAAAACTTAATGAAAAAATCTTTCAAATAAAATTTCAATAATAAAAAAACTCCCTCCTTCGATAGTACTTCTAGAATAGTAAACAACTGCCATTAAATCGGTATTATGCACGCATTGATTGCTTGTTTCTTGTTTGTAATTGATTGTATCGTGTTTTCAATATTGTTTTAGACCATAAAAAGTGTACAACCACGTAAAATCCCCTCAATGATGTATATAATCCCGTGTATTGCATTTATATATGAGGTTAATTTTTTATATATTTTTGTGCCAAATGATGTATATATTTTTAGTGATTTTATGTTAAATTCTTCTAGCCCAATATAAATTATTTTAGTAACATATATAATTATATATGAGAGAAATCTGCAGGCATAATATGAGGATATATGATTAAGGAAGTGGAAACAGTGAGAAGTTTGAAAGAGTTGGAACATGGTTCCCCTCCATATAACGTCCTTATCATGTGGAGTTCACACTGCAAAGATGATCGAGATTGTATAATGTTTTGTTTCTATAAAGGCTTGTTGGGCCATGAGTGTGATAATGGTAAATGCACTTGTGGTTAATTTACAAATCAAAGGAACATGATGTTGTTAACTAAAAACATTATTTCCAAATACGGTTTAACGTTATAATTTAAGTATTCAAAACAAAATTTGAAAGAGAAAAAAAACAGTTTAAACAAGCATTTATATTGGTCTCAACCACTCCTATCATAATTCCATTATTCAAAATAGAAACTCTTTTGAGTAATGAAAAAAACAAAAAAAAAGGTGAAGAAGAAATGAGATTGGAGTCAGAGAGAAAGGAAGAGAATCATTGTGTAGGAATTCTCTCAAGAGGAACTGCTCCTCTACTTATTCCACGACGTCTTCTAATTCTCACAGTTAGTTGTTGTACTTCCTTTTGAATCAAGAAACGTGAAAGAAAGGATTAAAACTTTTTTTTCTCTTCATGAAACGATAAAAGAGAAAGTGTTTGCAAAACCATAACAAACATTATGTTTGGTTTTCGTCTCATGAAGCCTTAAAAACTTCACCATTTCACTGAGTAGTGTGAGATGAGATGGTTTGTAACTTGGCCAAGAACTTCACCATTTCGCTGATTAGTGTGAGAGGAGATGAGATGATTTATTTTAATGCTGATTGTTTGATGATATTAATAGTAATAATTTACTGTTTTAAAAGTGTCATTTGATTTATCAAGAGCAATTTGAAATGACATAATTATCAATTTATTACCATATTTTCTCAAAGTTTTTTTAGTTTTTGCTCAAATTTTTTTTATTCCTTGCATAAAATTGTTTGATCACTGAAAACTACTATGTTAATCACTCACACAAATTTTATGAATATTATTGTTTAGTTTTTATACATTTTCCACGATATTTAATGCAAAACATTATCTATTTAATAAGTTAACAATAATTACATCAATTGTAACGAATACATTGTATTGAATTCATCATATTTTATTGATTAACAATCACATTAGTAGTATTTAAAGTTAGTGTTCAATCCAAACATAGAGAAATATAGTTAAATAGAAACTAAGAAGAAGCTATATAACATATACAACACAATCATGGATCGCTTGATAATCTTTTTTCGACGCTATAAACTCAAACCACATAACACTGAACTGATAACGCAGAAAGTGAGTCTTTGTTTGAATATTTTATTAACAATGTAGTATTATTTGGTTATATGTTCTAATTTGATATTGTTTTTCCTATCTTTTTCTAGTTTAATGAGAATCGATGATTTCGATTTTGGATCAAACAACAATTGGTGTTGTTGTTTTCCTCATGATGTGGTCGTTATGTCATTTCATCTTCATGCGGATCATATCAAAGTTCCACATGATTAGAAACCACAAAAACAAAAATTAAGAGTTTTACTTCAACTCGTATATCATTTAAGTATTCCCAATTCGTCCTTGGATCAAAATCAAGAAACATGGAAAAAAAACTTTCACTTGAGGTATGAAAGAAATGGCTAAAAATAGCTTTAAGTCTGAAAATCCGGATTAAATTCGAGGTAATAATTGCAGCAAATAAACTCTTCCAAAACGTCTCCAAGCCAGGATAAGAGTGTAATCCAAGTGATATGTGTGTTGTTTTTTGTCTTTATTAGAACGTTATGCAAAGTTATAACTTTTAATTCGATTTTTGTTATTTTATGTTGATTGAGCTGGAAGACTTGGCTCTATTCCTCATGAAAAATTATGTTGTGGTGACTTTGAGATGTTTTGAAGTAACATTAGAGGGCGAGACAACCCAAGTCAGCTGCTCATCTCTGCAACAATAAATGGTAAAAACTTTAATAAAAATTTGATGATATGTTCAATCTTTTTAACAAATATTAATTCTAGTCATTTTTTGTATTGTAAATGTATGCTTTTAGACTACAGAGGTCTCTTCTCTTGTCAATGAAAGACACATAATCTATAATCACTAATATGATCAACATTGTGCGTTTGTTTTTTCGGATTGTACGAGCAGTAGCACAAATTTTTGTAGTGTTAGGCAAATGTAGATATCTTAACTTGCTTAATTATGCTTGTCTTGCTATTCATAGCTCGACAATCGAGTTTGGTTTGCGTCGCAATCCAGTTTCTGTTTTTCTTTCATCCGCTTGATGTTGGCAATATACCAATTAATGGCGTTGAAGTAGGTAAATATTAAAACTAATTTTTGTTCAAAACAATAGATATTATTCTAACCATGTGATTATTGAATGTTTTTTAACATTTCAACTTTGACATTGATTATTTAATGCTTTTTAACATTTCAATTATTTTTATTTTTGATAAGTCTCTTTTTTTATTTAGTCAACTTTTACATTTACTTAAACGTAGAATTCTAGAAACATAATCATAATACCACCATTGCAGAATAATGCTCACTCTAAGAACAATATTCCTTTGTTGTATAACGTAGAAAGCAAAACTTTGATATGTTTATTTAATTTGAAGTTCTTAATTATCAAAACTATGTTTCTCTCATTTAGATATTAATAAATCAACAATAATGTAGTTAATCGAATCAATCAATTCTCCTTCAACACTACAAACTTTGTTTTTGTTCATCTTCATTATTACATTTTTATCTTGGCTTGGACTCATTTCCTTTGCTACGGAATGAAGAAAGTGAGAAGAATGATCTCTTAAACTCACCATCTTTCACTCTAAAGCTGGCTTGATGATGATCTCCATGAATAACATTGTTTGAAGCTTTGAAACACAAAACACAAAGCTTATCATCAGAAGACTTATATGACTCCATTTAAGACAAACGTAGTTATTGATAAAAAAAATCTTACCTTGTTCATCTTCAGAAAGCTGACTTTGAGAAGATGCCATTCTTGATTTTCTTAATTCATCCGATGATCGATAAGCGAAATCATCATCACCTTCAGATGTCGTTACAGAAACCCAATCCATTAGATTATCCGCAGCACGAGTTTTCTTTCCAAACTTTAGCAAACGTTTGATCCCTCTCGCTAAATCCTTTCGAGAATGGAGTGGAGAAGAATTGGAAACAATAACAGGAGCTGTTGTTCCCCATTTCTTTCTCATTCTTGAACTCCAAGAAGCTGGACTTCCCATTGGAGAATAATCCATCGAAGCATCAACATCCGAATGCTCGTGCGGATAAGAGAATGCGTGTTGCAAGTTTGAGTTCCATGAGAGAGGACTCTCATTAGGTGAATCCATTAACGAAGCAACAGTATGCTGAAATGTTGAAGAAGGTAGAGTAGTAGTCGCCGGTAAGTCTACATGAGAAACTGATCTCAAAGAAGTGAAATTTTCATCCTCTGATGAGTTCTCAATTTTGTCAGTAAGTGAAGGCTTTTCATCAACAAAATCTTCAACTACTACAGTTTCCATTTCTCTAGCTTCTTCTTCTTCTTCTTCTTTGACAGAATTCTCCACAACTTCTTTTTCTTCCTCTGCCTCATAGTCATTTTCCTCAAATTCTTCGCCTTTCACGTTCTCCGATACATCATCAGTTTCTGTGTTCTGCTTCTGATTCCTCTCTTTGTTCATCATATCATCAGAGTAGAGAGTTGTCAATTCTGTGAATTCTATGTTCGCAGAGAAGCTTTTCCTTAATGATCTTGGTCTTCGAGGCTTAACAGGAGACGGTATATCTTCCTTTGTTGTAGTCTTCTTATTATTACTACTTCTCACCTGTGCTCGCATCATTGGAGTATTTCTAACAGCTAAAGAAGATGGTTTTGTGTTTTCCTTCTTAAGATCAGAGAAATTAGGAATAGAAGATTGTGTAACCGGATTTGTTGTTCTTCGACCTCTCCCGGAAGTAGTGTTAGTGTTTGAAACGTTACCTGATGGTTTCGAGACGCGGGAGCTTCGGTTTGGTGATGGAGCTTTTCTAACTAGGGAGCTCCTAGAAGCATTCTTCCCAATGGATTGCTTGTCTTTTTCGTCTTCTTCTTCGCTCTGTAATGAGCTTATAGGATGCTGTCAAAAAAGATTAAGAAGAGTTACCAAATCAAACTGCATAATAGTAATACATTAGTTTGTTACCATAAAATGCTTTTGATACCTGAAACTTTTTAGTACTAGACCGAGAATTAAAAGATCGAAATTTCTCTGCACGTTGGCGGGTACTTGATATCGAATCCTGTTTCTTCTTCTCGGATGCAGCGGAAAACTTAGACTTCATCTCGGTTCTACTTTGCTCAAGAGCTTCTTGCATTGACTTCAACTTCATTTCTTTCGTACTCCACTCTTCTCTCAGTTTTGCATCCCTTTTCTTCATATACTTCTCATATAACTTTCCTTTAGAATCATCTGAATAACTTAAATCAGATAGATTCCTCCGCATTACAACATTCCCATCGTCTTTTTCATTACCAGCTGGTTGATCTCCTGGTAGAATCCGGAGTTTATGCTCTGAGAAAATCTTCTCAAGATCATTTGCCTTCAGTTTCAACTCGTCGTTAACATCTTGGTTTTCTCTAGACATCCTTGTCCTCTGTATTTGATCCACGGACGTCTCACGAAGCCTACTATTGTTCATTTTTCCAGGTGAATCTTGATTCACAAGACTGACATCAAGATCATCCTCCACACCTAATGACTTTTGTCTCTGTTCAGACCCTGCAGAATCATCAAGATGTGTAATTAAAAAAAAAAGCTATCAGTTTTTTGTATTCAGAAGCTTGACTTTTAAATGATGTTCAAGGTCTTGTAAAATTTCTGCTAGATCTAACCTGCAGAAACTGGTTTTGGAGAGGTTGTTAAGGCTGGTTGCTTATCTGATGGAAACATTTCTTTCTTAGATTGAAGTTCATCACTTTTAATACCAATACCACCTGCTATATGGGCAGACCGAGAAGGTGAATGTCGATAAGAAAACATGACTGATGATTGTGCCACATTGTGGGATTTGGATGCATAGCTCTCCTCTTCTCTCTGCCTGAAATTAACATCAGTCTGGTTTTGAGAATCATCATCGCCCTGTTTAGTATTTTCTCCAAAGTCCTTTGGCACTGTTGCATCAGGATTAGCAGATGATGGTATGCTCGAGGGACCTTCTTCGGTGCTACTATTGTCAAACTTCTTATTATCCAATGTCATATCAATGCTCATGTCACTAACATTACTCCATCTTCTTAAGACAGATTTCTCAGAGACTACAGGAGTAGCTGATGAGACATCAGAGGAAAGTCTCTTCAACTCCGTGGATTTAGCAACCACTACCGGTTTGTTTCCCGCAGAGTTTGAGTTTTCCTTCTGTTTGCTCTCGAAGAGGTTAATCCTGTCTTGTACGCTAAGTCTCCTTGTATGATGACTGGTCTTAACCGTAGAAGACTCATTCAAACTCTCATCTTTTTTCTCCTCTTCATCATTCTTAGTGCTCTTAGTACTTTGATGTTGACTGATGTTTGTTTCATTGACTGATGTTTGTGTACTGGTATTCAAATTCTTCGTGATCAGGTCCGGTCTTCTCTGACATAGTGAAACATATTTGTCGCATGCTTCGCTGATAAAAGAAATATATTTGGATCAAATTCAAAACGTAATTGTGAGAAAGTGAAACAGCAAGAAAAAGAAGTGCTTACTCCAAATGATGTGCGCCGAATCTATCAGCAAAATGTTGGAGATCAGAAACAGTTTGAGGGTCAAAACCATTAGCTGATGCATTAGCGATCGCTGTGGTTAAGTCCTTTTTAATTGCCTCGAGTCTTAAATCTATAGCCTTTAAGAGCTCCTTCCTGTATATATATACAAAGAAAAGCAATCAACAAAAGACTCTTTAAACAATCAAGTTGAGCCAATATAAAAAGCAGAGAACTTTACTTACTTTGTTGCATCTGTGACGCCTCCATCGTCTGAAACAGAAAAGGGGGAAAAATCTTGTAACATGTAAGGTTTTGAATTTGATCGAACAAAGTAATGAGAAATGAAACATACCTTGAGAATATAATGTCCGAGCTGCTTCCAACTGTGACATTTCCGAATCAAATGTATTGACTCTTTCCAAAACTTCTGGACTACTAACAAACTGAACAAGTCTGGAAAACAAGTACAGATAGAAAAAGGTCAAAGATTGTTAAGCCAACGCACATTTTTTTTGCGTAAAAGCGAAAAAGCAAAATGTTCTTTGAGACCTCTCGAGTGTTCTTCTTGTGAACCAAGATTCGCCATATCCGCTTTTTTCTACTTCCAGTCTAACAGAAGATTGTACTCTCTGTGTTGCTTGAGACTCAAGAACTCTCAAATGATTCACAAATGGCTCTATCGATCCTGATGCCAGTTTCTCTGTTTCACCATTACTCGATACAAACAATTCGCATCTGTAACACAGAAAATGAAACTAAGACCAAAATCTAAAAGCATGATCATTGGTATTTGGTACAGAACATTTCAATAAGAGAATAAGAATTACTCACAGAGAATGTTTTGAGGAAAGCTCAAATATTGCATAGTCAAGAACAGTATCAGCCTTCATTTTTTCTAAGACCAAAATGTAAATCATTCAATAGATCACATACCCCTGAGATTGCTTTTGACTGTTAAAAAAATCAACAAAATTGCCCAATTTGATGAGACTATAGTAAGTAATCAAATGTAGCAGCAATAAAGATTTACCAAAAAATAATGAAACAGAAAAAATCAATTCAACAATAACAATAATAGATAAAAAAAATAAACGCAGCATTATAGCTATAAAAACAAAAATCGCAATAAAGTGAAACTGATGCTTCTCAGATCTGTCCCCAACATTAAAACCGAAATGAAAAAATCCCAACTTGACACCCAAAAATTCAATTTTTAAAAATCAGGTTTGATAAACTAATCAAAAGGAAGAATCTTTGAGCAAACAAAGAAGAAAACAGAATCAAGAGTCGACGAACTTACGACATAGCCGATCCAGAACTGAACAGAATTCGATTTCTTCCAATTACACTCCAAACTTTAGTAAACTTGAGTTCTTTATAAGATATTGAGTGAAAAAGAAAAAGTTGTTTGAATACTTCTTGTTACTACAATGGCTTCTGCAAAAAGCAATGCAATCTTTTTTGTATTCTCCCAAATTGCTGCAGAACTTTGCTTTATCTTTCTATCTCTCTCCCTGAAACCCACACTCTCTTTTTGTAGATACTGTAGTTATATAAAGTCTAGAGAGAGAGAGATTGCTTGTGCTTCGGACACCTTTCACTTTCTTTTTTTTTCCTTGGCGTAACAGTCTGTAATGAGGAAAATGCGAAAGAAGGACGCAGAAGTCAAGAAGAAGATACCACCACTCAATGTTATTTTACCAAATTACCCTCCTAGTAAACCGAATCGAAACAAGCCACACAAAACCGGTTTGCGAAATGTTGCCTCCAAATTAATATTTTTCTTCTCCGTAGGTAAAGATTTAAAGTAACATAGAGTACACCTAACTCACTAAGTATTCGATGGTATTATTACTTTATTAGTAGTGGAATTATCTCAAGGCATCCGGTTAATTAATTTCATAATTGGTATGATTGAAAGTGGTTTATTTGTGTGGGGGGCAATCTTGTAATATCCACTCGTTAGGAGAGATGTGGTCAAGGCTCTTTATACAATGTGGACCAAACATGCAATGATCAAATTTTAACGGTAATACATCTATTTTTTTGGGGAAACAAATTTATAAATACGTTGAGAAGGATAAGGAAAGTCGCGTA